GTCCTCTTTAGCAAGACCTTACCACATAGAAATGCAGCACCCCCACCTTTGGGCAAAGGCTTGCCAGCAACTCAGATGGTGAACCCGGTAGCGAGGTGAGGGCTTAGAGAAAATTAATAGAGTTTCCTCTTGTCATTGTCATTTCTTAGGCAGTAGGGCAACACACGTACCTCGCCCTCTGCTATTCCAGGAGATGCACTGCAAGCATGCAATTGAACAGGCATAATTAACATTTACAGCAAGGAGGGCTCCTGTGATTCCTGAATTTTTAATATCAGTGGCTACAGAACTAGAGATCTCTTATGCGGAGCTAAAGAAAACAAGATGGGGCTAAGTAAGCTCCATTAGCTCCAGTTACAGTCCTGTGAAACACTGATAATTAGTTTACAAGCATGCAGAGACAAGAGAGCTATTTACATCCCCTTCAAGATGTCTGGTGCATTGCGGTGTTTCTACAGAACTACTGTTAATCCCTATCTCTGGGATTGAAAATCACCTTTCTGTAAATTTGAAACATAGCTCCCACTTTTAATCCAAAGAAAATAGCACTTGGAAAGCATGACCACTCCCTAGGGATTCATGTGTTCCTGAGTAGTGCATCTTAGAGGTCCGTGATAGGATTTAAAAAAAAAAAATATCCATCTAAAGGAGACCTGACCCTACCTTCAGGTGTTTAAATCTCTCTGAAGTCTGGGCATTACCCAGTGCATCATACAACGAGATCTGCCCTTAGGGAAATTACACTGATCTGTTTGTTTAAAATCTGTTCTTAAAAATCTGACAGGTCTGGGTTCAAACTTTGTCACAAGCTGGTAAGGGTTGGTGAGAGAAGTACCCAAACCCAAGAGGTTAAGCTGTACTGTTGCTCCTGACAAGCCTCCAGCACTCAACCTTCCACCTCAGGCTCCCTCTAGTGCTCCCAGGCACGCACAGCACCGGGGACACCAGCCCTGGGAACCGGCACTGACAGCTGCAGAACGGGCTGATTCTTTGGCTAGCTGGTATTTTTAAGAAAGCAAACTGGTTTGGATCAATGTTTCCCCATTGGGTTTTAAATAAATAGTAATAGAAAAAAATACTAGGAACTGAACAAAAAGTTTTCTGAGAGTTTTATAGAGGTTTTAAAAGAATTTTAAAAGACATTATTTTTGAATTTAGGGAAAAATATGTATTTTTCCTTGAGGTCCCCTTCATTTGCTTTAAAGGTATACTTGGCTGAAAAACTTCACTGATCAAAATGCACTGAATGTATTGGTCAACTTCTTCAACACAAAATTCAAACAAAAATTGGTTCAAAATTCAAACAAAAAAATAAAGTTGGACCCAAAAGTCACCAGGTTCACATGAATTGTAGGAAGCAGAAAGTCTCTTTCCATCCTGCCAAAATGTGAGGAAGCTGCCCTGCAGAAGTTTTTCTGAACCATGGTGGTCACTCTCTGTGCACCAGTAAGAGACTCAGGGTGTCCTGTATCAGCAGTAAGGCTCTAGCATTTCCCATGCAGCTGAACTTTATCTTCAGGGAATTGACAACAAGAATATTGCATCAAATCCTTAAAATGAGTGAACTGTGATAAAAAACCTATTGCTTTGATCTCCAGAACTTCTTACCCACTCCTGGGCAAATTATTTAAGCTAATATTAACAAAGGTGGGAAAAAGTGCTTAATTTTCCACTTGAGTACTTTGCTTCAGTTACTAGTCTACACTACAGAAAGAATAGCATTGCCCATGGGGCGCTGTAAGGTTAAATACAGCAAAGAGTGAGAGGCCATCAGATATAATGGTAATATGTGCCTGTAAGTTCTGGTGACAGAGACATGGGAGTGACAGACACAAAAAGATTTAACTGTGTTTAAATATTTTTATATAAAATAACGAAGATTCAATCTTGGAACGTACCCTCAGGGCAAGACTGACCCCACTGTGCTGCTTCCAAGATTTTCTGAAGCATCTGCCACATTACAGAGCTCCCGAGAGGGTGGGTGGTAACTGGCAGAGATCCCCCTTGCTTTTGCATTATTTTTGGCTATGGCATGTAATTGAAAAGGAGCTGAAATGCTTTAGCTGTAGCCTGAGCTTCTCCTTCATGTATTTGCACATGATTAATGAGTAGCCAAAAAGCCTGAAGGGTTTGTAATGAAGCCTTTCTAATAAATGTATTGTACACAAATCCATATTTTGTCCCAAACAATCATTCATCAAAGCTGCGATTTGACTCTTCACAATTAAATGCCAGAGCACCCACACCATCCTGAGATTAGCCAGCTGTAACCCATGCTCCCCTCTGCACTCTGGCTGAGAGGGACATTGTCATCCATTTCCAGGGATCCTATTTCTTTTGTCATCTAGCCATAATTAGCAGCTGTATTTGACGGCCTTCAGAGAGACAGCTCACCAAACCTGAGACTACAGTGGACTCATACAGGCCTCAATTCAAAGCACATAATACATGCTCTAGCATCAGCACAAGTCAAAAGTCTGACACCTACATGCATTTTTTGAGGGCAGGACACCTTCGCAGTGGGAGTCCATCTATCCCACAGCATGGATGGAAAGACCAGGTTAGAGTACCCAGAGTCCACCCTTAAAAGTGCAGGAGACACTTACTAAGGCCTGGTTTAACATTTCATTAAGCTGCACTGCCAGACACTCCCTCCTGTTGCAACCTGCCCTGCAGGTATGGATGAACTGCAAGCAGTCCTGGCAAATCTAGCAGCCCACTATGTTCCAGAGGTTCTGGTTAAAGCAAGATTCTTAATCATTTGCTTTAAATATTTTATCTTTCAATAGTGTCCAGAGCCCAAATCTCAGGTACATTAAACAGGATGTTTAACCAACCTGTCAACAGATGCTAGGCCTGTAAAGAAGGTGACCTATTGGTCTGGTAGAACAAGTACAGTTTTGGATGGCTTCTTTTAGTGCAGTCCCTAAGGACTGGATTGAAACTCAATAGATTTTGCTCAGGTCCTCAAATGGCTGATGGATAACAACACATTTCATTCAGTTTCATTACATGCTGAGCTCAAATCAGTATCTAGGGATGAAAGACAGAAAATTTCTCCCACTTGTAATTTCACCCTGTAATGCAATATAGATGTTACAACGCAATAAAATAATATTGTAAATTTCACCTACTTAAAATACTCTCAGGAAGAACTTTCAGAGTTGCAGCTTCAGGGTTGAAAACTCCTGACCTTAAAAAAAAGAATTCTGGAGAGTCCAGCAGTAACATGTTAATTTATAACTATGTTATTTTGTTTTTATTTAGGGACTAACAGCCACTGCTTTCAAAGGCTTTACTGGAGTTCTCACACTTTGTCCACAGAGCCTGGTGTGTGTGTGTCTGACTGTCTCTCAGTGGAGAGATGGCCAAGGGGAAAGCAAAGGGTCAAAAAGGGAAGAAGATCACCTTGAAAATTGCAAAGAATTCCATCCAGATATCTTTTGATGGAGGGCGTCGTCTTGACTTAAGCAAGATGGGTATCACCACCTTCCCCAAGTGCATTCTGAAACTGGCTGATGTGGATGAACTTGATTTGAGCAGAAACATGTTAAAAAAGATTCCAAGCAGCATCCAGAAGTTCCAGAAACTGCGCTGGCTGGACCTGCATAGTAATCAGCTTGAGGAGCTGCCCGGGGCAATAGGCACGCTTCAGAACCTTTTCTACCTGAATATATGCAACAACAAGCTGACCACCAAAAATCTGCCAGAAGAGTTAAACCTCCTCAAGAACCTGCGTATTCTCAACCTTGGCTTGAATTGTCTTGACAGTATTCCCACCAGTCTTGGGGCCCTGAAGGAACTTATGGAGATAGGTCTCTTTGACAATGCCTTAACCACCATCCCAAACAGTGTGAAAAAGCTCCCCAAGCTCAAGAAACTGAATGCAGAAAGAAACCCTTTCCCAGATTCAACAAAGCAAGAAGAGCACGCCAACTCCGTTAAATGCGTAAAAACGCTTTATTTAATACAAGAGAAAGATCTGTGCTCTTCCTGCCTGAAGATATGTCAGGATGAGAGGGACAAGCTGAACAAGTTAAAGAGCGTGACACCCAGCCCCTCGAAGAAACCAAGTTTCCCTTTACTCCTTACACCCAATTCCTCTGCAAAGGATAACCAAGAGGAATGGAGATTAAGAGGCAAACATCCCTGAAATATACCAAGGCACTCCACAGACCATGTCCCATGAAATCCAGCCCAAGCTAATAAAAAGCTGACCTCCTTCCTCTTCCCTTTTCCTTCAGTTCTCTTCCTTTAAAGATCTACTAAGTTTTAGAAACAGATCCGTGTGGTCTCTGAAGTGAAATCCAAAGCAATTAAAACATGTATATTTGGGAAAGGATGGACTATTTCCATCTGGGCCTGTTCCTACAACATGTTCTCCATGTTTGGGTTTGGGGGTTTTTTTGTGCTTTTTTTTTGGGTTTTTTTTTTTTTTTTTTTTTGTCTTCTGTGTGAGCACGTGTCCAGTGAAGGAATCTTCAAAAAGATAGGTTTTTCTAGTAACACCACTTCCACCACTGAGCCCCAAACATTAGTTCTGTTCATTTTCATAAGGTGAGACAGAGTTAAATTAGTATCAGTAAACACCTTTTGGAGGAAAAGGAACAGACCTTGGAACCTTCTGCTGCTGGTGGCTGCCACCAACCCCTCAGAGAATCTCAGATAGGCACTGTCAGTGTAGGAACCATGAGCCCATTCCAGTTCAGCAGAGGTAGCAGACACAAGTGTTATGCTCAGGAGTAATTAAGCAGTACAAACTCAATGCCTAGAGCTAAACAACCAGTGATGATGTTTGCCATCAAGGGGCCAGGCTCTGCATAAGCAAGTTCTCTGGGATTCTGGGTGCTATACGTGGATGCAGTGATCTCTAACTTGCACAACACAATCAGCACCATTACCTATACTTGTGTTTTGTCTGACTCCAAGTCTCCCTCCAAGGAAGGTACAGAAGGGAAAAAGGGTAGGGATAAGATTGCTCTTTTTAAGGGTCTTGGGCATATCACTTAAGCAGTGACTAAGAGAAGAGTCACCCTCTTCCATGATCCAAGAGTCAGCTGGTGAATCGATGAAATCAGGTCTGGTGTCCCTACAGTACTTTTAGCTTTCTGCGCACATGCACGTGTGCACCTGAGCACATATATTCACTTGCTCAAATCACATCCCTAGGGCAGAGAGTGCTGACAGCCTGCAAACAGCAATTACAGGTACAAGCAATGAGCAGATTATGAAAGCAGCCAATCATGACATGAGAAGAGGTGCTAGCTGTGGCCGTAGTAACATATGGTGACAGCAAACATTTAAGTATACTTAAATGAAAAACAGAGTGCCAGGGGCAAAGTACTCAGTTGACCAGTCACAGTCCATTATAATTTTTTAAATGGCTACAGTAGAGTCTGGGAGTCAGAACTCCTGTGTATTATTCCTATGGACTAGGTGGAAAAACTGATATGGAGTTTCCCAGAAATGCTACTACCTCAACATCATACGATACAAATGAGTAATTTTTTCTTTCCATGCTTCAGCTGTGCAATTATTAATAGTGTGTCTGGGCAAAGAGCTTAGTCTGGCCTGTCTCCCTGTCTCAAGTACGGCAGGAAATGCTAGGATGCTATGGAAGATGGCCATTGCCCCCTAGATGGGGAATGAGTCCCTTGTGCTGCTCCTGAATTCTTCTAACTCAGAAATGGCTCCAGAATTCAAACAAGGCAAAAGTAAGCTCATCAAGACCCTAGTCCTTCAGTTCCCAGATTGGTGCTTAGTAAAGGGAAGCATGCCCAACAGGGACTTTTCTCTAGCTTTACACTTAAGCACAACTTTTCTGGGATCATTACTTAGGCAGTGGCGCTATCTTACATTCATTTTATTTCAGCTCACGTGGTAACATGGCCCAGCCAAAGCTATGCCAAAGGCCCCTTACATTCTCAGAGTGAATAAAGTGAGGGTTCTATCTCAGCCAATGGAGTAAAATTGAAGGCCTTCTGGGATTCAGGACAGGCTACTTTAGACCTAGACATACAGCCTGCTTCAATCTCTGAGACCAAACATGAGTCAAGTGTTTCTCACAATAATCACAAGCCCAGCTAATGCCCAAAGTTCCTGTAGCCATAGTGCATCTTATCTCAAGACATTCCCACCTGTTGAGCACCCAGCAAGCACAGGAAATCCTGGTGTGGGTTATTGCTTACTCCACCCAGAACACATCATGCTCCACTGAGTCAGCCATCACCTCAGGCATAGGTTAGGCTCTAGCCAGAGCTGGTTGCATGCTGCACTGATACTTTTTACAAGCTGATGGCTGATACTCGGAGTCAGAATGTTCACTTACAAGATGGGTAATGATCTACAACAGGTAGAGTGAAAATTAAAAAGAGTACAGCTGACAGGCCACAAACTCATAGGGGCAATCTGCCCCTCAGGTCTCAACATTATTCCAGTCTCCAGGCAATCATTTCAGAGGACACCAATTAGGCACTTAGGGTTGTATTCCTCAGATATCCAAATTGAAAAGAGTTAGAGGTACGCAAGTAACTCAAGGTCAGCATGGAACATGCTCTCAGTCACCTCCCACTAGGAGAAAACTTTATTTCCCTGCAGTGGTAAATCTGAGGGACAAGTTGGAACCTCCACTGCACAGTTACATGCTGAAACATCCATGTGTACATCTATCACTGTCTGCCCTAACCACACAATAAAGAGGCCCTTACTCAGAAGAATTACGGATTAGCTCTAACCTCACCTCACTGACTGTCTCTTTCCCACACTAACCATCTGTGTAGAGTTTACCAATAAAGTCATATTAAGGAGGTAAAAATTATTAATCAAATATGCAGAGTCAGCTACTTGACACATTATTCATGTCTTCATACCATGGATGCTGTACACTACAATGTTTTTCGGAGTTCTGGGGACACCTTTAAATCTTTAAAATACGGGGCACAAATATGTAAGTTTCTAGATGCTTTTTTAAGGTGCAACTTATTCACACAATTGCACTTGCTATCTACGGTTATCCAAATGTCTTTACCTTATATTTAAGGACTCTTCTGTTATCCCCTTTGACTTCAAAGCAGGTTGGAAAGAGCAAAATCTATAGGAGATATGAAAAGTCATGTTATGATTATTTAAATGGTTATCTGTATACATTACATATGTGTTTATAATCTATATCATGTCCTGACAGCAACTTTATTCCTGAAGGATGTCACAACATTTCACTGAGATGCTAACCTACGACAAAGCTGCAAGACAACACAGCAAAAGCATACATTTAATATTAAGGAGTTGCCTATGGGTTGGATAAAAGCAGTTGCTTTCCCAAACAGAGCCTTGAATTGATATATAGGGCTATGGACTTATGATCAGGTGGTTTTAGGTGCTGTTAATTAAAGCCAGAGAAGGAGAACCCACTCAGACATTCACCTAGCAAAAAATGGCAGAAAGGAATACCAACCCATGTCTCAGCCATTCCTGTTTACTTTCACTGGGGCTTTATGATGTCAGACATAGTAAACCCTCGAAATACATAGATTTGGTGACCTGCAGCTGAGGGGCAATACAGGCAGCTGAGGATCAAAACCTTATCTTGAACTGCCTCTGCAAGACTCCCCTAAGAGATGCTTGTCAGTGCTGAGACACAGCAAAGACATGGGCTAAACAAAGCAGCTCGCTCTGGGGCAGAACCTGGTGATTCTAAGTAGCTGCACTATGCAGCCAGTTTAGAAAGGAAGAACAGATAAATCAGCATTGACTTTTTAAGTAATGCTCCATTAGAAACTGTCCAGAGATTTCAGGAGCAGAAGGAACTGCTATGATTTTTTTACAAATTAACAGTACAAATTATCAGTCCAGGCTGCAGAATTTACAACATGAAGTACTGTGTATTGAAGTATTTTTCTTGCATAAAGGATAGTGAAAGTAAATCTGATAAAACAGCCAGAACTACAGTAGGAAAAAAATGCAAGAAAACAAAGTGCAAATTAATCACTTCAGTCTTACATTCCAAGTTCCATCAAACAAGCACATAAGGAGAAATCTTTTTTAAACAAAAATTCCATTGTTGAAAGTTAACTCCACACTCAGAGAGACAAAAACATTTTATTCCTAAAGAATCTAATGACACTTCGTGTGTTGGAAGAAAGCAAGAACAAACTTTCTTTCACCCAGTACTGTGAGGTGAGATGGAGGTGGCTTTCATCTCAGTGAGAGGAAGCAGCACGGCTACAACTGCAGTTTCCTGGGATGCAGGGACATACAACACACCACTGGGTGTAGGAAGAATCCTACACATGCATTAGTTCCCTTGATAAATCAATGGCTATTTAATGCTCCGAAGAATTCACTGGTCAGCAAAAGGAAAATTTCATAGCTTTGCTTAAATGTAATCCATTAAAGACTAAGGAGCTGCAATTGAAGAAAAAGCCCCTAGAGCAGCACAAGACAGACATCTGAAGCCAGGATAAAAAGGGGTGATAGACCAGGAGTGTCACCGGAGTGTTCACATATTATTATGAAATAGTGATTACCTCTTAAATATCTTATTTCGGTCACTGTCATGGAAGACAAGAAATCTGGAGTAACCATTTTTGAAGAATATTTCCAAGGCGATCTCCTGGAAAGGTAAATCATTTACAGTGTGAAGAGCTGCACAGCAAAGCCCAGTGCTGCAAAGAGTCCATCATGACCTGTCCAATTCTTCAAGCCTTTAAAAAAGGCCTTTACTTTGTATCAAGTGTGAAGAAGCATAGTAAAATATGCCTAATTTTCCCAATTTCTCCAACTGTATGAATGGTCCTACTAGGTTGGCTAGGAGTTCAAATGCTTCTCTGAAGCAATACCAAACTCCAGATATTGGTTCCATCATCCGCCGCCTCCTACTGCTTCTGAAGATTTTTTTTCTTGAAATCTCAGTGTGATTAACAAGACACTACTAGCATTAACTTCTAATTAGGTGAGAAAGATAGCATGAGAAGGGATGCTAATATAAGAGTTTCTTTTAGAAAGCAACGATACTGCTTTCTAAACGAATAGTGAGCTCAACAGGAATGATCCTGACTAGAAGCAGCAGAGGAAGAAGGGGAGTTTATGACATTTCTCACTGAAGCTTTAAATAAGCAAAGTTATAATCAAAGTTGAGAACTTCACCCCCTTTTTTCTGCAATGTCGCCACACATTGTTTTGTTGGGCATTTGCACATGATCCCATTATTTACTTAGTGAGTGGTCCCTTTTTTCCCCCAAAGTCAGTCAAGTAAAACTATAAATAACGTATAGTGTCTGGGAACCCAGACATGATTTTTAATCCCAATCTGGCAGGTGCAATACAAACCTAGAAAAACACCACAATGGCAACTGCCCCGTACATGATTCACAAATGAAGTAGAAAGCAGAAAGGTAATATGAGAGCAGCTATGACAATAAACAGCTTGCAGCATTTGCTCTGAAGCTCAGCTTCCCAAATCATGTCTGCTCAAGTGTCACCATTACAGAACTGGGCTGCATGGTTTTACAGCACTTTGCTCTGAGCTGGGCTACGTGCATGAGCAGGAGATCAGCTGAGGCACAGTAGCAGCCTAAACAGCTGACCCACCTGTCCTGCAAGGCAAAGCACATGGAATCAGTTTTCTTCTTTTTACACAATATTTTCTCAAAGCAGTTTGTGGCATGGAGTCCCACTGCAAGAATTTGAGAGCCTGATACAGATACCTGAGTTTTCAGTTCATTAATTGAAACAAAGCAAAAATAAGCAAAACAAAAAAAAAACCCCCCACACCCCCCACAACCAAAAAATCCCCTCAAACTAACAAGCCCCGCCTTTGCCCCAGGCCCATTGCAAAAACTCTTTTTACTCATGTCCATTTTTCACTTTGGGACACACAAAACATTTCCATTTCACATGTTTAAAAAAAAAATCCATGCATACACAGGCACGTGAACATATGAGAAAACAGTAGATTCAAAATAACAGGTAACTAGTTATGGTTGCTTCAAAACTCCCTATTTTTGTCAGATGAAATCTGTGAATTGCTCTGCAGACTCTAGCACAAATACAGCCTCTGGTGCTGCAAGGAGCTCTAGCTACAACTCCTTTTCTCATCACAGGCTCATCTAAACCAGAGAAGACTAAAAGGGTACCAGGCCGCTAGTGATGAGTAGCTTCTGGGTAGTGCAGCTAAAGGCACAGAGGATTCAAACCCTCTGCTCCAACTTATGATTCATTTATTGACTCACATGCACAATGTGAAAGTTATTCCAAGAGGCCCAGGGTAAGCATGTTACACATACTCATAATCCACTAATGTCCAAAACTACTGAAGTCTGTGGGAGCTGAGTATTACTGAAGTCAGACACTTAGTGGGAGCTTCCATCAAAAGACAGGAAATTGACTTCAAGTTTCATTTTCAAAAACATTGAGATAAACCATGAAGAACATTGTTAGCCTAACAACTAATGAGACAACCACTCCAGTGAGAGTGCTTAAACATTCTGGTGAATATAGGAAGGAGTTTGTATTACCAAAGGCTAATGAAGCAATGATGGGAGCAAAAGCATTTTGGGAGTCAAGCAAAGAAATCTCAGCAGTCTTAATAAAAATTGTGCAAGTAGTTTTCAGTCACATGGCATTACCACAGTTGCAGCTTTCCCTCAAATGACCATGCATGTTAGCTCCTACCTGCAGAAGAAAGCGCATCAGATGAATCTCTTTTATATCATGATACGAATAGCGGGAACACATCTGGTCTCCCACAGCATGATCTTTATGACATAAGTTGAAAATAAATGGATCACTGATGCTGAGAGAGAAAAATATAAAGAAAGAAAAATTAATTTGAAACAAAAAAGATCAGGAGAACCCTCACGAACATCTAACTCCCTCCCTAAAGAAGAATAAAAACACTAAGGATAGTGAGATCAACTGGGGTATACATGAATTGAAAATAAAGCTAAATACTGAAGGTATATTTTGTACTAGTTCTCAAAATAAAGAGCCTATGGAGGCTAAGGGTAGGTTTGGCATTATTTTAGCGCATGCAAATAGGCAGACAGAAGTATTCTGCGCACACTGAAGTCTGAGAAGCAGCAAGGGAAGGAGCTGGGTGGGAGAACCTGAAAGCCTAGGTCAAGGGCAAGCATCATATGGACACACAGCTGTTATAAACAGCAACTAATTGGAACTAAAAATTAAGCAATTATTACTTTAGTTGTATGCATGTGCTGCAATTGCTATCTACAAACCAGCCCATAGCAAATCCCTTAGAAAAACAATCTAAGCTTTTACCAGACCCAGCCCAGTCGATCCTTAAGTCACCTGATCAGATTGACTGATATTGGACTTCATAAGAATCGGATGCAGAGCAGACAGTCAGGGAGTAAAAACACTGAGTTACTCACTGTCCCACTGGGCTTTGCACATGAGCACATAGTATGCACAAAGAGCTAAGTCTGACAGACTCATTTTCAATATTGATCAGTTTCAATAAATCATGAGTCAAAGATGATAGCAGTGTGCCAAATATTAATTACGATTCTGTATTGGAGAAACAAACAAAAACTTATGAGACAATGAAGCTAAAGGCTCTTGTAATGACTGTTCCATATGAATAAAAGATGGGAGCAAGTCAGAAGGAAACACTAACAACACTTTAAAAGAATTGAAAACCAGCAACGTATGTGTTAGACTGCCCACCATCTCCATCGGTTGGAGCTGGGAGTTCTTGTTGCACCTTCAAAGCCTGTGAACAAGCACCTATGTTAGTTATGTTAAACAATTCTGTGAACAGACGGAAAGGATGACAAACCACTTGCTGTGCTAATATCCCTCTTGAAATTCCCCCAAAGTCTGTGCAAATTCTAGGCATCTATGTGCCAATACTGAAGGTAACCAAGGAGATCTCTGGAAAGAAAGAATTACTCACCTGGACAAGCAGTGACGTGTACAGTAAACTTCTTCTAGAGGGGATAACACAAAGCACTCACAGATGTAAAAGTGCTCTTTGCCGAAGAGCAGCACTCCTTCCAATGCTGTATGCCCCTGCACAACTGCCACAGAGCACTTGAACGTGACCTAGTATGGAAGCAAGCATAACGAAGCCAGGAGTGGGTAACGCAGGACACAGGGACAGCAGGGAGCAAGACCCAATGATGTAGAAGGACATATGTTTGTACCAAAACAGCTGCCATCTTGATTGGCAGGTTATAGGGATGCAGCCACAAACTCACCATATGACTGACAGTGCATGCCCTGTGGTACTAGTAGTGGGAGGATCTGATGCCCTTTTCCCCCAGTAAATCTGGTCTTTCCCCATCTATCTGTGTCTATGTTTAGCAACATCATTACAGAACATGAAGAGCTTGCAAATGTTGCAGGAGTTAGCACTGCAAAACCTTGTTGGACAGCAATACTTACCATACAGGCAGGGGGCTGAAGCACTGAGGAAAGAAGTGACACAGCATCATACAGAAAAACAGTGGCATATAATAAATATATGTATATTTAGAATACAGAAAAAAGGCAAATACTTTTACTTATGTCCCAGTGAAATCTATACTTGAAAAAATCCTGCAAAGGGATCCCAGGGATCAATGAAGCAACGAAAGGACTCTCTCTCCTCAGCAAATTAATTTAGCCCTTAAAATAGAGGAATTTCTAACCCACAATTGAGAATTATTGGGAAATTTTTAACAAAGTAGTTCTTCAGTCATATATACCAGTTCACATAAAGTTTTCTTGGGAATTCATCAATTTGGTTCAAAAAAAAAAGCAGCCTTTTTTCTGGAACATTTTCTGTGGCTGAGATGGCGTAGAAAGGAAACAGACCAATACAGAGACCAGAAGAGACCAACAATCTGGAAAATAGCGTGGGCTGCGGGAAACTTAAAAGTTCTGATTTTAAATCAAGCAGTAATTCATCGCACAGAATTTCCCTAAAATTTAAAGGCATGAAGTTCCTTTTCTTGTCTGTTGATCCAATCTTCTGTATATACTCAGCTCCAAAAGAGCAGTCCACTGGTTAGTGCAGTCAGCTGGGAGGATCAAGGTTAACTCACTGCTGTGCCCAGTTTGGACCAGAACTTTGAACCAGTATCTCCTGCGTTCCCAGGGTGGGAGGCTGAAGCTAATCATCAGCCTATTAGTCCAGTCTCAAATGAAGCACCCTCTATTTGCACAAATCCTTTCAAAAATTCATACTACTACAAAACACTAACTTTCCTAACATCTTAAAACAATAATACTACCTTACATACTAAGAAAACTGCCCACTACTGAGCTCCCCCTGTAAATCAACACAATCCTGAACGACATACAATCCAGAAATGAGTGTAGAATTTTGCAGGCTGAGTCCATCTGAAACTTTAAGGACCAGGGAGCTGCATACAGAGGGATTAGATCTGAGAGCTATTTACACAACAGAAGTTGTTCATTGGTTCAGAAATCTAGTGCACTGTTCTTAAGCGAACTGATTGACAAGTATGAGAAGTATTACAAAGTCTATTTTTTCTCTTAAGATCTCAATGATCTTACCTCTACAAAACTTTATAAAAACAGGAGTCCTGCATTATTTTTTGTGCATGAAAAAATGATGCAGAAATAGCATTGGTTCTACTAGATCATGTGAAGTCTACATGACAATACGTGAAGTATGCTTTTCCTTCACTTTCTGTCTTTGCTCCTACCTCACTCTATTTCTGGAATCAAATCTACAACCTTCTTTGCCTCCATCCAAAAATACACATAAGCGAACTCAGGCCAGCCGAAACAGACCTAGCACAGCTACACAGGCTTCCAGTCTTGGATGCCAGCATAGCTTGGTGAAATTATTACATGTTTTCTCTTTTGAGATTCAATCCAGACTGAAAACTATATGAAATGGAAACATGAGAGAATCCAGAATGGTGACTATTATTTTGATCAATATTTAAAATTGGCATAAATAATAAATTCATAAATAATTGAAATAAAATCTTGTTTCTACATTTAATTTTTTTTTACTGAAAAGTAATTATTTTGCCAATAAAATGGGGGAGTTCATCCTGAAATCACTTGAGTGGGCACAGAAGATTGCTTTCATTCTGGGTTTAAAAAAAAAACAAAACACAACCCTGTAAGATTGTGAGGGTAATTTTTGATTAAAATCCCTTCAATCTCTTTCTCTTTCCCCTCTAAATTATTTCTAAGAGGAAGTGAGTATTTTTCCATCACTTCTCCTGCAGATCCCACAGGAAATCCTGTC